CTGCCCGCTCTGCCCCGGCCCCGGCCCGGCCCGGCCCTGCCCGCCAGGCTTCCTGGCTGGTCCCACTTGAGCCGGAGTCCTGGCTCGCACTGGCCGCTTTTGCCCGTGAACTCCCGGTTTCTCCCTCCCCTAGGCTCTGGTGACTTTCTCTGTAACCTGACTTTTCAGTCTCAAAATGACTTCTGCAACCATGAGTCCACTTGTGCAGCCCGAGCCCACAGACCCAGCCCGAAGACCAGCTGCGGGTGGTGGCCGTCTGCCCTCCAGATAGGCTCGTCCCTTTTTTTGTTTTTATTGGCTGCAAATTATGTTTAGGAGCCGTTCCAAATTGCCCACATCTAGCCACATTTCTTCTTACGTCAAATGCTATTCCTTCCCTCTTAGAATTGTCATGGAGTCTTTCCACTACCTACCCCTCTCTTCCGTATACACAGAATCGTATTTATATCCGAGTTTTGAAAAAAAAAGAGCCGGCCTCCCAAATGCTGCTTTCACTTTTGCTTCCAAGTCAGGGTCAGAGGTCAGTAGAGGCCAGGACTATCCCAAGAGAAATGGCCAGGGAGGCTAGAACCAGGTGGCACACACTGGGGCTTCTGGAAGGGAGGAAGGGCCTGACAGCCTGCAGGGTCCCTAACGGACCATGCCATCTGTTTTGGCAGGATACATATTATCAGCCCCGTGCCCTGGAGAAGCATGCCGACAGCATCCTGGCACTGGTAAGTCAGCTCTGCACCTGCGATTCCGTAATTCTTACCAGGCCCACCCAGCTGCTCCCGTCCAGCCTGGGAGTGGGAGGTGCTCTGAGCTCTGTTCAGAAGAACATATGTGTACCCAAAGCTCAGATAGTTGGCCTTCCCTCTTGGGGACCCCCCTTATGTACCATCAGCTTTCTCTGGAGCAGTCTGAGCCCTGAGGATAACACATGTACCCCTGGGATCTCGCACAGGTCTCTGGGCCTGCAGTCCCCAGTGACCTGTCCTCCCTGGCAATTAACGTCTTTGGCTGCCTCGGCAGCTGTTCTCTCTGGCAGAGTTCCTATGGTGATGTTTTCCTATCTCTGGGAGACAAAGCCTAGGACTCTCTTGAGTGGGGCCAACTGTGAAGGCCTGATTAACTTGAGTAGACAGAGAGGCTGGTGTTTTCAATGTGATGAAACTGTGTCAGCCTCCGTTACGCTCTGACACACTACCTGGCAACAGATGTTTGGGCCCCTACAATGTGCATGATGTCATGAACAGAGCATTTGCTTAGAGTGTGGACTCCAGGTTCCCCCTCAGAGCCTAGGCCTGGAAAGGCAAGTCAGTGTGCGCACAGGTGTGGTGGTGACTGCCTGTCTCTATCTCTGCTGCAGGCTTCAGTCTTCTGGTCCATCTCTTACTACTCCTCTCCCTTCGCCATCTTCTACCTGTACAGGAAAGGTCAGTGCGCTCTCAGGGGTGTGTGTGGGGAGGAATGGGCAGGCCACTGGCAGGTGAATCAGCTCCCCAGAGAGGAACGGGGTCCTGTGAGCACCGTTTTAATTCCCTCTTCTACCAGGAGTCTTCTCCCCCTGAGACAGTGGTTCTCAGCCCTCCTAACGCTGTGACTCTATTAGTTCCTCATGTTGTGGTGACCGTCCCCCAACCATAAAATTGTTTTTGTTGCTACTTCATAACTAATTTTGGCACTGTTATGAATTATAATGTAAATATTTTGCCAAAGGGTTCACAACCCACAAGTTGAGAACCGGTGCTCCCAAAGAGAGGGCCTGCCTGGAATAGAGGCTGTGTGCAAACGGGGAAGAATGGCTGAGAGAGAGCTCCTCATACCGTCTCTCTTCCCTCTCAGGTTACTTGAGTTTGTCCAAAGTGGTGCCGTTTTCTCACTATGCTGGGACATTGCTGCTTCTGCTGGCAGGTGTGGCCTGCCTCCGAGGTAGGTAGAGAGGAGCCTGCTTTGGAACTGTGACTAGATTAAGTGTTTTTTGCAAACAGGGGTTGGGGCTGGGCCCTGCAGGGAATAACTGAGAATAATCTAAGGTGTTGAGCTGCCCTTTAAATGACTCATATCAAACATCTCATGTGTGCATAAGCTGTATGTGTGAGCAAGAATACGGCATACAGCATGTAAATAATTCTCACCAGGACTGCAACCTTAAGATGTGTAGTTACCCGGTAGTGTAGCCACACATGGATCACACATGCATTGTTAGGGGGATGGTATTAAGTTTTCACTCTAAAAGGTGCAGGCGAAGCTTGAGCACATGTCCTCTGATCCCAGTGTGTGGGTAAGAGTGAAGCAGGAAGTTGATGAGTTCCAGGCCAGCCTGGGCCACATAGTGAGACTCTTCCCCAATCAGTGATTTGTGTCAGTGAAGGTCAGAACCCATGCATATGGACGTGATGAGACCCCAGAGACACCCAGCTGTGGTTCTCTCTGCTGGGGGCGTTAGAGCTGGGGAGACCCCTTCGGGGAGATAGCTCTGTTTTGTTTTTTAATAATTTTTAAAATTTTGTCTCTGTGTGTGTGTTTGAGTGTGTGAGTGTAAGTGTGTGTGTGTGTATGTATGTATGTATGAGTGTGTGTGTGTTGTGTGTAAGGATAACTTGATGGGGTCAGCTCTCTCCTTTCTGGGTTCTGGGCATTGAACTGTGGCTGTCAGGCTGTAAAAAGCACCAGCCCAGCCATCTTGCTGGCCTGTTCCGTTCTCTTTTTAAGACAGCTCAGCCCTCAGTCTCTCAAGTGCTGTGATTACAGGCATATACCGTTCTTTTTCTTTCTCTCTATGATTTATTTTTGTGCACATACATGTGGGGGGTATGCATGTGTGTAGGGGTGCCTGTGAGTGCCAGAAGAGGTTGCTAGATCCCTGGGAGCTAGAATCATAGTTGGTTATGAGCCACTTGACGTGGGAGCTGGGAGCTGAACTCTGGTCTTTTGCAAGAGAAGCAAGTACTTTTAACCACTGATCCATCTCTTGAGCCACGGTGTTCTCCTTGCCCCGGGTGATAGTTACATGTTTACCTTGCATTAAAAAACATTACTGATGTATATGTGTGTCTGTATGTAGGTCTGTGTGCATAAGTGCAGGTGCCTGAAGAGGCCAGAGGAGTCAGGTGACCCTGGAGCTGGAATCACAGACGGCTGGTTGTGAGCCACCTGACGTGGGTGCTGGGAACCAAACTTGGGTCCTTGGGAGAGCAGTGTGTGCTCTTAACCACTGAGCCATCTTTCTAGCTCAATACTTTGCATTTTTTAAAAAAGATTTGCTTATCCACTTTTTGTTAATGTGGCATGTATGCCTGAATTTGCGTTTGTGTATCACATGTGCAGATTCTCTTGGCGGCCAGCAGACATCAGACAGCCTGGAACTGTAGTTACAGCATTTGTGAGCCACCTGATGTGGGTGCTGGGCACTGAACCTGTGTCCTATGGAACAGCAACAAGTGCTTTTAATCATGGAACCATCCCTCCAGCCTCTCGTTGGCATTTTTTTTTTTTTTCTGGTTTTGGTTTTGGTTTTTCGAGACAGGGTCTCTCTGTGTAGCTTTGGAGCCTGTCCTGGCACTCACTCTGGAGACCGGGCTGGCCTTGAACTCACGGAGATCTGCCTGCCTCTGTCTACCCACCAACGCCCGGCCTCTTGTTGGCATTCTTAAGTGTATTTTGCCAGGTGGTGGTGGCGTTGGTGGTGCACACCTTTAATCCCAGCACTCCGGAGGCAGAGTCAGGCAGATCTCTGGGTTGAGGCCAGCCTGGTCTAAAAAGTGAGTTCTAGAATAGCCAAGGCTACTCAGAAAAAACCCTATCTCAAAAAACAAACAACAACAAAATTGCATGCTATCTGTGGATAGCCAGGGTTGTAAGTGAACCTGGGAGCCACGCTCATCTCGCTTCCTCTTCTTGGCCTCATTGATGCTATGGAGTCCAGTTCTGTTTCCCTTGTAGCACTGCCCTCAGACATTCCCCCATTGGCTGGTTTGTTGTCTTTCCCCAGTCCCACCCACCCGGGGCACAGTGCCAACCTCGTCAGGGCCAGGATCTGTGTCCTACTTACTGCCTGTCTCTGTGGGTAGGATGGTCCCTGGCATACTGCCCCTGCCAGGTCAGAGAGGGAAACATTTACAGCCCGAGTCACCTCCTGATGGCAGTGGAGAGAGGCATCACCAGGGAGGCCAGCTGCCTCTGGAAAGAGAAATGAAGCCAGCAGGAGCTCCAGGAATTGGAGGGTATCAGAAATAAGGCAGGCGGCAGTGAGAAAGGACTGGGGCAGATGCAGGGAGGGAATGAAGGTGGGAAGTACTGTGAGCGAGGCCTTGGCGCCAGGGGCGGGGTTAGGAGCATGCAGGAAGCAAGCTGGAGAACACCTGAGGAGGACAGGAAGGAAGCCTGCCCTGCTGTCAGCAGGGGAGTAGTAAGGTTTCGGGACTTCTAACATCGGGAGGATAAATGTTCTGCGAGGCAGACGCTTGCTTGTTTACAAAGAAAGAGGTCGCCAGGGCCCTCAGCACCTGGGAGGCTGGAGTAGGAGAATTGCTGAGCATCCTAGGCCATCCTAGCCTATATAGTGAATTGCAGGCCAGCCTGGGGCACAGAGTAAAACCCTGTTCAAAACCAAAACAAGAGAAGTAAGCTGTAAAAGTTCAGGTGTGGGGCCTGGACTCTCAGGACAGTCCAAGCAGGTGGGCCTCTCTAGCCAGACTTGATGACATAATGAGTTCCAGACCACCAGAGCTGCATAGTGAGACCATGCCTCAGAAAAAAACACCAAACAGAAGCAGAAGGGCTGGTGAAATGGCTCAGCGGGTAAAAGGGCTTGCTGCACAAACCTGGTGACTTGTGTTCAGTCCCCAGATCCCACCGTGGAAATAGAGAACTGAAGTTACCTGGGTTTCCATATTCCTCCTGTGTCACTTCTATGCTCACACGCAAACACACATACACACAATAATGATAGTAATAGTGCTAATTAAAATAATAAAGCTTGAAGACTCTGAGGAGAAGAATCCTGCAGCCAGTTGCTGTGTGGAGGAAGTTCTGTTTGTTTCCCCATGTGAGAGGCCCTTGCTTCCTTCGAGGGCCTCCTTGCCCATTTCCAATTCTTCTCTTAATTCCCTGGTATCTGGCTGGCCAGTTCACCTAGTACATGTTCTGTCTTCTCTCTCCAGGCATTGGACGCTGGACCAATCCCCAGTACCGACAGTTCATCACCATTTTGGAAGCCACACATCGGAACCAGTCTGTAGAAAACAAGGTGAGGGGTCCCCGGAAGGGTGACAGTGTGTCTTGCTGCCCCACCCCCCCAGCTACAGGCGCTGGCTCCTGCCGGGTCTGTATTGCACACTGCCCTGAGCTTTCTAAATGTCTACTGGATAATCTGCTGGAACATTCCTCTCCCTCTCCACAACTGTCTAAACATAGAAGCATCCGCAGTGTCTCCGAGAAGAGGAGCCGTCTGTCCCAGTGGCTCAGTTCTGTGTTTACTTCGCTGTGTGCCTTGAATGCCACACTGGCTTTGTTTGGGGATAGAACGGATTGGGCAGGTGTGTCCACTCCTGTGCCCAGCAGCAGAGTGGTGCCAGCAAGGCTCTGTGTCTTTAAGCCGTGCCAGGCCTGCTGTTACTGGAATGTGGTTTTCTTTGAGATGGGGCTACAGGGCCTCATAAAATTCCTTCCTGGTATGAAGGAGCCATGACCACCATCGTTGCACTGATGGTAACGCCACACCCCTGTTCATAGGCTGTGTCATCACGCATGCTCTGAGGGGCGTGAGAGCTTGCTGCACACACCCTTTCTAGCTATCTCCCTGCCGCATGAGGTGGAATCCTGACCCTCAGTTTTACATCTGAGGGAAGAGAGGCAAAGACAGTGCAAGTGGCCTGTGTTGGTGTCAGGAAGTGTCTTGAGTCTAGATCTGGGTGTCGGTCTGAGCCAAGCATGGCTGAGATGGGCTCTGCTCGTCTTATTTTATTTTGTCATTTACATTTTTGTACATTTTTTTCCTGTTGCTCTTTCTTAGTTGAGTTAATTTTGAAAATGTCAAAAACATTTCTGTGGCAAAAAATAAAAAATAACCCTCAAAATAGAGACCTTGAGCTCTGGGTGTGGGGGAGGACAGTGGATTATGAAAATGTGGTCCCCATTGCACACAGCATGTGGCCCATTGCATTGGGGAGACACAGGCACTGACGGTTGACAAGGTAGTGCTGGGCTCTGGATGCCATGGCGTGGGCCGGAGGTGGCTGCATGCACAGGCCCTAAGAGAGGGCGAGAACCTGGGGACACAGAGCCCACTGAGGGCATGGCTGTGTTCTCAGTCATGGGGCCAGCAATTTAGTTGGGAGTCCGGGGAGTCCTTCTCCCCCCACAAGACACAGTTACTCTGTGTAGTGGAACTCGCTCTCTAGACCAGGTGGGGGGGGGTAATTTGACCAGCGCCCTCACCCCCATCTTTGCACGGAAGCAGCTCCCTAGGGGTGCATCAGCCCTAGACATTGCTGTGGTTTTTGTTTTTGTTTTTTTTTTAGGACAGTCATGCTATGTAGGCCAGGCTGACCTGGTATTTTCCGTGATCCTCTTGCCCCCTGGGTGAGGTCACAGCACATGCTACTCCACATCCCAGGCTATCTGTAAACTCACTGTGTATCCCAGGCTGGTCCCCAACAGTCACACCAGCCTCTTTCTGAATGCTGGGATTGTAGGCATATGCTACCATTCCTGGCTCTTTAACAGTTTTGTGGTGCCATTGGGAATTGAATCCAGGGCGTTATGCATGCTAAGCAAGCACATACACACCACACATCATGCACACGCACACACACACATACACACCACACACACACACACACACACACACCACACACACACACACATCACACACACACACCACACACATACACACCACACACACACACCACACACATACACAGCACACATACACACAACACACACACACCACATACACACACACCACATATACACACACCACACACACTACACACACACCACACATCACACACACACACCCCACACATACACACCACACACACACACCACACACATACACAGCACACATACACACAACACACACACACCACATACACACACACCACATATACACACACCACACACACTACACACACACCACACATCACACACACACACCCCACACATACACACCACACACACACACCACACACATACACAGCACACATACACACAACACACACACACCACATACACACACACCACATATACACACACCACACACACTACACACACACCACACATCACACACACACACCCCACACATACACACCACACACACACACCACACACATACACAGCACACATACACACAACACACACACACCACATACACACACACCACATATACACACACCACACACACTACACACACACCACACATCACACACACACACCCCACACATACACACCACACACACACACCACACACATACACAGCACACATACACACAACACACACACACCACATACACACACACCACATATACACACACCACACACACTACACACACACCACACATCACACACACACACCCCACACATACACACCACACACACACACCACACACATACACAGCACACATACACACAACACACACACACCACATACACACACACCACATATACACACACCACACACACTACACACACACCACACATCACACACACACACCCCACACATACACACCACACACACACACCACACACATACACAGCACACATACACACAACACACACACACCACATACACACACACCACATATACACACACCACACACACTACACACACACCACACATCACACACACACACCCCACACATACACACCACACACACACACCACACACATACACAGCACACATACACACAACACACACACACCACATACACACACACCACATATACACACACCACACACACTACACACACACCACACATCACACACACACACCACACACATACACACAACACACACACACAGCACACATACAGCACACACACGCACACACACACCACACACACCACACACACACACCACACGCACACCACACGCACACTTCAGATTTTCGGGAAGGCAGGGTTAAGAGTTCTAGAGACGGACAGATGAGCTGGTTGGGGGAGGCAGCTGCCTTGGCCACTGTTGTGATCATAGATCTTCCATCAGGAAACGAGGGTTCTGAGCTCCGCTCAGTCTCCCTGTGACGTGGGGGCAGCCCCTGCATGTTGAGGGTGGATAGCTGGGTCTCTCCTCCGTTCTCAGTTCTGCACTCCTTCCGTCCTTTCTGTGCCCACCACAGAGGCAGCTGGCCAACTATAACTTCGACTTCAGGAGCTGGCCAGTCGACTTCCACTGGGAGGAGCCCAGCAGCCGGTGAGGACAGTTGTTTGCCTCTTTCCCTTCGTTGGCCAGTTGGCACTTGCTTGCGCATCCCCCCTCATCCCTGTGAGGTCCTCGGGCCTGCCTTCCAGTACTGCCCCACCTTCCAGACATCTTCAGTCTGGCCTGCTGCTCCTCACTCACCTGTCCCCTTCCTTTTCCCCTCCCCCAGGAAGGGATCCCGAGGTGGCCCTTCCCGCAGGGGTGTGGCCCTGCTCCGCCCAGAGCCTCTGCACCGGGGAACAGCAGACACATTCCTCAACAGGGTCAAGAAGCTGCCTTGTCAGATCACCAGGTGGGAAACTGGGGGAGGCAGGCTTCGGGGAGGGGACACAGGCCCAGGCCCTGCCCTGTGAACTTGGTTGTAGAGTAGCTGTCACTTGTAGGGCCTAGTGCTGTACGCCCTGTGTGTCTCAGGTGTGGAAAGGCCTGTGAGGCCCAGGGTTCAGGGGAGTACGTGGAGAACAGTATGCCAGTGGGTTGGCAGCTGAAGGAAGGCAGCAGGCACAGCAGTGAGATCACTTGCTCTCACAGACACACGGGTTCTTTGCAGTGTGCTGCTCTCACACACACACACACGGGTTCTTTCCAGTGTGCTGCTCTCACAGTCACACGGGTTCTTTCCAGTGTGCTGCTCTCACAGACACACGGGTTCTTTCCAGTGTGCTGCTCTCACAGTCACACACGGGTTCTTTGCAGTGTGCTGCTCTCACAGTCACACAGGTTCTTTCCAGTGTGCTGCTCTCACACACACACACACGGGTTCTTTCCAGTGAGCTGCTCTCACACACACACACACACGGGTTCTTTCCAGTGTGCTGCTCTCACAGACACACGGGTTCTTTCCAGTGTGCTGCTCTCACAGACACACGGGTTCTTTGCAGTGTGCTGCTCTCACAGACACACGGGTTCTTTGCAGTGTGCTGCTCTCACAGACACATGGGTTCTTTGCAGTGTGCTGCTCTCACAGACACATGGGTTCTTTGCAGTGTGCTGCTCTCACAGACACATGGGTTCTTTGCAGTGTGCTGCTCTCACAGACACATGGGTTCTTTGCAGTGTGCTGCTCTCACAGACACATGGGTTCTTTGCAGTGTGCTGCTCTCACAGACACATGGGTTCTTTGCAGTGTGCTGCTCTCACAGACACATGGGTTCTTTGCAGTGTGCTGCTCTCACAGACACATGGGTTCTTTGCAGTGTGCTGCTCTCACAGACACATGGGTTCTTTGCAGTGTGCTGCTCTCACAGTCACACAGGTTCTTTCCAGTGTGCTGCTCTCACACACACACACACGGGTTCTTTCCAGTGTGCTGCTCTCACAGACACACGGGTTCTTTGCAGTGTGCTGCTCTCACACACACACAGGTTCCAGTATGCCTCAGTTTCTCCATCTGAATAGCCCGCCTCTCTGGATTGAGGTGACACTGGGAATGGAAGGCACCTTCTCTGCCTGCCTGAGGGCAGATCAAAGCCAGAGATGTCAGTCGTGGGTCCTGGGGTTTCAGACCAGACTCAGACCCCAGAGACCCCACCCCACCCCGCCCAGCCAAGTCTCACATTGCACCAGGCTCTAGAATACCAGGGAAGGGAATGGACTTCGCCTTGGCTGTTGGCATCCTGGATTGGTCCAAAGGGAAACCTGACCTGGAGAAACTGCCTGTGGCAGTGTATGCCAGGGACATACAACGGCACCCGCCACATCTTTCCTGTCTGTAGGAGTCCACACACTCAGTAGATGCTTGCTGAGCTCCTTGGGCAGCTCCAGTGTGGGAGGTATGGTCACTGTGAACACAACAGCCAACTCTCTGCCCTGACAGGAGTGCGGTCCAGTTTGGTATTTCTCAGGCTATAGATCTTGACCTATTTGAGTCTTAATTTTATTTTTTGAGGTATGGCCTCATACAGCCCAGGCTGTAGTGTAGCTGAGGCTGGCCCTGAGTTCCTGATCCTCCCAAGTGCTGGGAGTACAGGTGTGTGTTGCTGTACCCGGCTCTATTAGTCAGTATGGAAATCGCTGTAGTGAATTGCAAACATGAGTTTTTGTTTTAGAATGGTGTTGGGGGAGGACCTGGGGTTTGTGTGTACTAGGCAAGTGCTCCACCACTGATCAGTGATCACCTGGTCCTATTTGAGGGCTTTGAAATACATTTATTTACATATGTATGTGTAGGGCCCTCCTACCCTGTGGGACCCAAGGATTGAATGCACTCAGGTTGTCCTTTACCCAGTGAGTCATCTTGGTGGCCCTTGAGAACTTTTAATAAGTTGCATTTTACACATAAACAGAATTATTTGATAACTGCATTTATTTATTGTACTTAGAAATAATCTTGTAAAACTCACAGAATTATATCCAAGCAGACTCTAATTTGCTATAGTTTTAACTTTTGAGTTTTGGATTCTTTCCCCAGCCTAGCAATGGGCAGCATGTCCTGCAGTGCTACAGCCCTCATCAGCCACGAGTGTTCTTCACTGTTCTGGGCGGCTCCACTCTCTTGTTCATCAGGTTGTGGGAGTCGAGTGCAATTGCAGCCTCTTCAGGCAATTGCAGCTATTTTCAGGACATAACCCCTTATAAGTCTAGAGGCATCCAAGTATTTGTATTGTACTGGACCGCAATAGAAAATGGTTTGGGTTTGTTTTCATAGCACTGGGGTTCAAACCCAGGGGCTCACCGTTCTAGGAAGCCCTCTGCCACTCAGCTGTATGTCCATTCCTAAAATGGACATCATATAGGGAAGCTTGGAAAGTGCCAGGCTCACACGGTTCACCAAGGGCTGACAGAGGAAAAGGTTAGCATGGCCTGGAGTCCAACTGCGACTGCTGGAATCAGTCCCTGGGCCCTCCTGGGGCTGGGCTCACTAACCCGTGTCCCCACAGCTACCTGGTGGCACACACCCTGGGGCGCCGGATGCTGTACCCAGGCTCTGTGTACCTGCTCCAGAAGGCCCTCATGCCTGTGCTGCTGCAGGGCCAGGCCCGACTGGTGGAAGAGGTGAGGCTTCCTACCTGCCGCTTGCCCTGTCCTCCTAGGGATGTGGCCTCCTGCCCCTCGTGACCTGGTCTTTGCATCTCCCTTACTCAGTGTAATGGGCGCCGGGCAAAACTACTCGCCTGTGATGGTAACGAGATTGACACCATGTTTGTGGACCGGCGGGGGACAGCTGAGCCCCAGGGGCAGAAGCTGGTGAGAAGGGGCAGGGAGCCAAAGGGGGTGGTAGGGGAGGTAGAGACTCTGGAGGTCCTGGTGCTACAGAGCCTTTGCTGTGGAACCACAGTTAAGAATAACTCCCACCCCACACCTCCAAAAAACAGAAGGTGGTGGCGCACGCCTTTAATCCCAGCACTCACAAGGCAGAGGCAGCTGGGTCTCTGAGTTTGAGGCCAGCCTGGTCTATAGAATGATTTCCAGGACAGCCAGGGCTACAGAGAAACCCTGTCTCAAAAAAGGAAAAAGAATAATGCCCTCTCCCAGCTCCACCCAAAGACGTCCTCATAGGAAAGCTGAAAGGAAGCCAGTGGAGGGCAGGGTCATGGGGAGGGCTCTTTCTCTCTCTCTCAGGTGGAGGGCAGGGTCATGGGGAGGGCGCTCTCTCTCTCTCTCAGGTGGAGGGCAGGGTCATAGGGAGGGCTCTCTCTCTCTCTCTCAGGGGGAGGGCAGGGTCATGGGGAGGGCTCTCTCTCAGGGGGAGGGCAGGGTCATGGGGAGGGCTCTCTCTCAGGGGGAGGGCAGGGTCATGGGGAGGGCTCTCTCTCAGGGGGAGGGCAGGGTCATGGGGAGGGCTCTCTCTCAGGGGGAGGGCAGGGTCATGGGGAGGGCTCTCTCTCAGGGGGAGGGCAGGGTCATGGGGAGGGCTCTCTCTCAGGGGGAGGGCAGGGTCATGGGGAGGGCTCTCTCTCAGGGGGAGGGCAGGGTCATGGGGAGGGCTCTCTCTCAGGGGGAGGGCAGGGTCATGGGGAGGGCTCTCTCTCAGGGGGAGGGCAGGGTCATGGGGAGGGCTCTCTCTCAGGGGGAGGGCAGGGTCATGGGGAGGGCTCTCTCTCAGGGGGAGGGCAGGGTCATGGGGAGGGCTCTCTCTCAGGGGGAGGGCAGGGTCATGGGGAGGGCTCTCTCTCAGGGGGAGGGCAGGGTCATGGGGAGGGCTCTCTCTCAGGGGGAGGGCAGGGTCATGGGGAGGGCTCTCTCTCAGGGGGAGGGCAGGGTCATGGGGAGGGCTCTCTCTCAGGGGGAGGGCAGGGTCATGGGGAGGGCTCTCTCTCAGGGGGAGGGCAGGGTCATGGGGAGGGCTCTCTCTCAGGGGGAGGGCAGGGTCATGGGGAGGGCTCTCTCTCAGGGGGAGGGCAGGGTCATGGGGAGGGCTCTCTCTCAGGGGGAGGGCAGGGTCATGGGGAGGGCTCTCTCTCAGGGGGAGGGCAGGGTCATGGGGAGGGCTCTCTCTCAGGGGGAGGGCAGGGTCATGGGGAGGGCTCTCTCTCAGGGGGAGGGCAGGGTCATGGGGAGGGCTCTCTCTCAGGGGGAGGGCAGGGTCATGGGGAGGGCTCTCTCTCAGGGGGAGGGCAGGGTCATGGGGAGGGCTCTCTCTCAGGGGGAGGGCAGGGTCATGGGGAGGGCTCTCTCTCAGGGGGAGGGCAGGGTCATGGGGAGGGCTCTCTCTCAGGGGGAGGGCAGGGTCATGGGGAGGGCTCTCTCTCAGGGGGAGGGCAGGGTCATGGGGAGGGCTCTCTCTCAGGGGGAGGGCAGGGTCATGGGGAGGGCTCTCTCTCAGGGGGAGGGCAGGGTCATGGGGAGGGCTCTCTCTCAGGGGGAGGGCAGGGTCATGGGGAGGGCTCTCTCTCAGGGGGAGGGCAGGGTCATGGGGAGGGCTCTCTCTCAGGGGGAGGGCAGGGTCATGGGGAGGGCTCTCTCTCAGGGGGAGGGCAGGGTCATGGGGAGGGCTCTCTCTCAGGGGGAGGGCAGGGTCATGGGGAGGGCTCTCTCTCAGGGGGAGGGCAGGGTCATGGGGAGGGCTCTCTCTCTCTCAGGTGGAGGGCAGGGTCATGGGGAGGGCTCTCTTTCTCTCTCAGGTGGAGGGCAGGGTCATGGGGAGGGCTCTCTCAGGTGGAGGGCAGGGTCATGGGGAGGGCTCTCTCTCAGGTGGAGGGCAGGGTCATGGGGAGGCTCTCAGGTGGTAGACTTGCTTAGCATGAATAAAACCCTAGGTTTCATCCCAGCTTCATATATACTGAGACCTGGGGTGCATGCCTGTAATCCCAGCACTCACAGTGGAGGCCGGGGAATCAGGAACTCAAGGCCAGGGCTGGGTGGATGGTTTAGTGGGTGACGTTTTGCCATCTGTGTTCTGATCTCCAGAACATGTATAAACCCTAGCGTGTTGGACGCCTGGGAGGACCCTGGGAAGCTCTCTCCCAGTCTGGCTCATGTAGTAAAGCCACAAACAACAAAAGGACCCTGCCTCAAAGTCGAAGGCAGGAGTAACAATGGAGGTTCTCTCCTGACCTCCACAGGGGTGCCACAGTTCACATGGGCACTCACGCACACGCACACAGAGTTTAGGGTCTCTTCCTTGGCTACACGGTGAGTTGCAGGCTGGGGATAAAGCACTGTGGTGTGTGCACCCCACCCCACTGTCATCCCAGCCCTGAAGAGGCAGAGGATCTGAAGTCTAAGTCAAGGCCTGGCTGGGACACACAAGACCCTGCCCCACAACAAACAGTAGGTGGATGGTGGCACAGGCCTGGGTCTCAGCACTCTGGAGGTCGAGGCAGGGTTTCGAGTTCCAGGCCTGCCTGAACTACCTAGCAGACCCTGTCTCAAGAAAACAAAAACATTTGCCACATGCAAGCCATAGTTAGTCCTGTGTGCCTGTGAGGGGGGACTGTGTGAGTCCACTCCATGGACGGACTTGTCTGCAGAGCGGCTCTCAGTACTCTCACAGCTAGTGAACGGCAGTGCTGGAACCTGACCTGGGTAGCCAGGCCCCAGTATTCTATGTCCTTAAGGTGGCCCTGGCCTGGAAAGAGCAATGTGCAGGAGTCAAGGGGGTTGGGTTCTAGTGCTGGCTCTTACATCTCTCACCATCTCTGAGCTTCCTGGAGTGCGGTGAAAAGAAAAGCTGTCTGTACACCTAGGAGAGCCACAGGGCTCTGGGTTCCGTCCCACCCTGTTAGAGGTCCCTCTGGTGGCATCCCGGGGGAAGTGGTCTCTGCTGGGGGCTGGAGCTCACCCTTGATGCCTCCTGAGGCCATGCTGAAGAGCAAGCACCTGCAATGACTTTGCCCCACCCAGCACCCTCTCAGCCCTCCTCTGTTTCCTCCTCCTGCAGGTGATCTGCTGTGAGGGAAATGCGGGCTTCTATGAGGTGGGCTGTGTCTCCACACCCCTGGAAGGTAGGCCCATGGTTCACACCTCTTATCTCTTATCCTTTGGACCTGACTGTGTCCCTCCTCCCACTACTGTGGCCGCCTTAGGCCTGACCTGCAGTTCATCAGGCCGAGGTCTGAGTTTCTTGTGAGGAAAATCTGCTAAGTCTGCAGACCACCTGTGGCTTTGTCACGCTTGTGCTCCTGCCCCGCCCCGCCCCGCCCCACACAGTCACACAGCTCTCTACCCTCCCCTGTGTTACAGCTGGCTATTCCGTCCTGGGCTGGAATCATCCAGGCTTTGCTGGAAGCACGGTGAGACCCCCTCTGGAGAGCAGACTTTTCCAGAATCGTGTGTGTCTTCCTCTGGTCAGCCACGGGAAGAGGGAAACTGGTGGCTGTTTGTACAGGGCCTCCCACATGCCTGTGACCTGGGTGCTGGGGAGAGCACTGTGGAAGCTGCAGCCCCCTCCCGTGACAGGCAGGGGCACACAATGAGTCACATAACCTCTGTGCTCCAGGGTGGCTGCAGGGAGGGTCCACACGAGGTGAGCTGTCCTCTGGCTGACCCTTGACCCTGGCCTGCTTCTGCCGTCTTCCTGCAGGGGGTGCCGTTCCCACAGAATGAGGCCAATGCCATGGACGTGGTGGTTCAGTTTGCCATCCACCGCCTGGGCTTCCAGCCCCAGGACATTGTCATCTACGCCTGGTCCATCGGAGGCTTCACTGGTACCTGCCACACAGACTCGTGTCCTGCCCAGGAGGCGTGGGCCCAGGCACTGGTAGCTCCCAAGGGGGGTGGAGGCTTCCAGAGAAGAGGTTGAAGTGGGTAAGAGGGACCTAAATGACAGGCACCTATTGCACTTCTGAGTCCCGCCTCCTGTGCCTCGTTTTGCCCCCCGGGGGGCGTGGGCAGCCATGTCCTACCCAGACATTAGTGCTGTCATTCTGGATGCCTCCTTCGACGACCTGGTGCCCTTGGCCCTGAAAGTCATGCCAGACAGCTGGAGTGAGTGCGTCTCTCTTGCAGATTGTGGGGTGGGGGGTGGGGGG